TGTATGTATCAATGAATAAACAAACAACTGTTGTTCATCAGGTCACAAAGAGTTGGAACCAACTAAATGATCAAATATAAAGAATAAGCTGTCTTCCATGCAAGATACCTGAGCTGGGCTTATCCCATATGTTGGGGGCAGAGTTCTAGGGAGAATTAGGAATTGGGAACACCTCCGTTCTGTCTTGAATGAATTAAAGCCGACTCTGAATTGACCCTTTTACTTGTGGATTTGTGAAAAAAAATTAGCATTGTTCCATTGCAGAATAAGCTGCAGTACAACTAAAAAAATTAAGTGACATGTCCTCCATTAAAAACCGCTTAAAAATAGAAAATGTCATCCCTGTCAAGTGGGATCTAGCTCCACTCATTTTGCCTAATTTTTTCACCCATTGCAAGTCATGTCATGTATGGCTCTCAGCCATCAAAAAGTTAAGTATCCCTCATGTGAAAACTGGTATTTGTGATGCTAGTTACTAGGTAAAAGCTCAGTATTATAATGGATTGAAAGAATTTTCTTGAGCTGAAATCAGACTCAGTAGGTTATCTTAAAGATTAAGTTACCTTATTGCTAATCACACAAAATAGATATGTAGAAACAACATTTCATAATTCTGTGTTCCAATTAATTTAAGATCATTATTGCTTCTGTTTATCTGCTTCCTTTCTTCTGGGAACAGAATTGCCCTAATGAAACAGAGTAGCTAAAGTTAATAACAGCTTTCTTTTTTTAGCCACCTGTAATCTAATACATATGAGTTCTTTTGTGGAGAATATTGCCAAATATTACTATAACTAATAACAACAAACTGAAAGATTACAAAATGGTATGCAGTTGCAAGGTAGTTCTGAAGGTTAGTTCATAGTGAATAAAATACAGTTCCCATAAAAAGTACTGGAAGTGTCCATGCTGTCCACTAAACAGAATTGATGAAAAATCTCTTTTCAAATACAAGGATATTTTCCCTCTTATAAAAGGGGAAAATTCCCTGTGTAAAAATCTGGATATGCAGTAACAAAAAATTGGGGAACAAAGGGGAAATTGAGATAGAGAAGAAAAAACGGTAAATTTTGGTGTATCCCAAACTAAGATTCCAGTTTGCTGGATATATATTTTAATGGTAGATGTTAAGATGGTTTCCATGGTGTATTTACTATGTTCTTAACCTAGGGTGCCCACTGTTACATATGGCATGCATTGCATGATACAATAATCTTCCCATAGTTATACCATTACTATATCTTTATTAATACAGACAAAAACAG